CGAGACATCGATGCATGTAAAGAGGAGACATAATTGTAGCAAATGGTCCTTTTTGGTCCAGTCCTTAACCTTAAATTAAGGGTTTTTATTAAATGATTGATTACGCTGTTGCAAGTTTTGTTTTTCTTCCTAGAGCTTCAAATTAGTTAGCATGCGCGAGGGAAACTATGTTAGTGCGATTTTCAATTTCAAATTTCAGATATTTATTCAACTAATTCTTTATTTTTCTTCTCTGCCATTTTAACAATTTTGATTCGGTAAAAAATCATAAACAAAATATTTAACATAAAACCCCTCAAACTAATTTTATTTAGCATCATAATGGTGTGTTTAAAGTATGAGTGATTGATTATCTAAAAAAACAAAATACAGTATTAGTGATTATCTAAAAAAAAATTCAAAATACAAATAACTAAATTTTATGGTTTATATTTGACTAGAAAAGTCGCAAGTTTCTTAAATAAGTCCATATTTTAAATGACTAAACACATCAAATCTCCATTTTTTTCAAATTCATTGTTAAATTAAACTGTCCATCAATTCCGTAGATTGTCGGTGCAGAACTTACTGTTATCAACTTGTTTGAAATTTCTCCAATTTTGTGAAAGAAAAAACATGCTAAAGCAACCATGAAGCGACAAATTAAATTCCACGCGTTTGAATACCCTCATCATATCCGCTTCGAACGTTAATTCATAAAATCTCAAACCCTTTTAACAAATATAGCCACGAGACCTTCTTCTTTAGATACCACCAATCTTTACATGACAGGTTTCCCCTTTGTTTATAGAGAAATGGCCTCACGTGGTGTTTTCAAAGGAATCCAACTACGTTCTTTAGACACCCAATATGTCACCATAGCCTGGCCCCAAAACAGTCCATTAGAAAATATGAAGTCACTGTAAACCACCATTTATGCAACTTTTTATTTTTTTGATAAATAGACTTTGCTTGCACATTTTTTTCTTCTTATAAGTAGACTTTTTTGCTTTTATATTTCACAGAACGAAAGAACACACATTTAATTTTTCGTGATTCGTAAAATACTATTAGTGTGCATTTTATTTAATATTTTAACATGTATCTGTAATCTTTCACATTTAATTTTTCGTGATTCGTAAAATACTATTAGTGTGCATTTTATTTAATATTTTAACATGTATCTGTAATCGTTAAAAATCTAATTATAAGAAAATTAATAAATCAGTAAAATAAGTAAAAAATAAAACCAAAATGAAATATTACTCCCTCCGTTTCATATTAAGTGTCATTGTAGAGAATTTTTTGCGTTACAAAATAAGTGTCGCTTTCGGTTTTCAATGCAAAATTTATTACTTTTATTATGTAATTTGTTTTTCTATTGGTTAAAATATGGTTAGGTGTATGGGTAACTGTGTTTTTATATAGGAAATATGTAAAATTAATTGTTTTCTTAATCCGTGTGCACAGCTGTAGAGTGACACTTATAATGAAACAGAGGGAGTACTATTTAGGCGGCATTATTCGAAAAGAATTGAAGTGCTGTAGATCTATTTTTTTATTCCGAAGTTTTGAGGGGAATCTTTTTACAATGTGGTTCTGGACACATAGCATGTGTGGTCTCAGTTACCTTTTCTGGCAACTACAAGTCTCCAAGGTCTCCTTCTCCCACTTATATCGACTCATGATTCATATAACCCCACCTCTCTTCTTAAGATGATGTTCCAATAGTTCTCAGTAATTTGAGTAGGTTTCACTCTTTAGTCTTATATACTATTTAGCTGTATGCTCTTCAAATAGAGTGTAAGCAAAACTAAATGTGAAAATATAGCATTTTGATTAGATTGTTTTGCTCGCTCAAATACTTGGCATGCATAAATAGTTTTTGTTCTCTCACTGAGACTTATAAATTGTATAAAAAATCTATAAATTAGTTGCATGACTTAATTATACTTCACTAATAAAATAATTTGCCAATGATTCTCTGTGTTGCTTGAATGTAGCTCAATTAGCAATCTATACGTACTTATGTTTTACGCCTAATTGTATTTGATGAGCTTACTAGTGAACATTGATCACATTACTAATATCTTTGGTATAATAATAGCCATTATTAAGCGAGACCATAGTTTTGTGTTTAAACCCTGTGCGAATTGTCATTCAAAGTTTCCTACACAATATTTTTGCATATATATGTACAATCAAGAGGTCCACGGACATCATTTTGTATTCAAACCAAAGTGTCATTAAGTTCTATACAATACGCCAACAAATATTGCATATAAATGCTGAAACGCAATAAATGCCAAGACATGAATTCGTTGGGTGAGGAGTGGTAGATACCCAATTCACATGCAAGTTCATTTGTATTCTCATGAGAAAGGCCTCCTAATCTTGTATGCGTGCATGAGTCCATAGAGAAAATAAATGTATTCCGTAACTCTAAATATTACACCAGTAACTTCGCTGTGATTAATTCGACAAATACCGCCAATTAAGCAATTGCATGTATGTATGATTAGGTACGGAATAAGAAAGAAAGTAATTTTACATAGAAATTACATATGGGATAAATTTGTATCGGAGTAATTACTACGATTCCACCAAATTAATACTAAAATACTTTTGAATTTCTAATTGGGATCACCACACTTTGCTCCAAAATCTATCCTCGTAGACAATTTTGTTAGCACGATAGTGTTAGCTAGATTCGCTATCGTTCGAGTTCATAAACATAACAAAACGTATATTCTCATATATACACACACATGTGATCTTTATGCATTTCAATAAGTTTGTCCACGTATAAGAGACGAATTAAAGCGTCGGTAACTACACAAATCCATCTAGAATTTCACAATCTTATAACACGGAAACACAGAAAAGATGAGAAGCTGGCACATATTGGGCTGACGTGGCAGATGTAAGTAGATTTGTAGTGACGTGGTAGATACAAGAAGATCTGGTTGGTGCATAGATACTGCCTTGTCATCGCCATATATTACATTCACTAACTGTTTTCCTCTTTTCAATTTATCACTTGGATATAAATAAAAATTATAAATATTAATAAGTGTGACATAATTCAGTATTTTCGTTCTATTATACAAAATATCGTTTTAGAATTCTAATGTAATTTATACCTATTTTAATTTAATATTAATTATAAATGTATTGTTTTTATAAATAAATTTATTTATTTCAAATATTACTGATTAAATAAATATAATTAATCAAAATATAAATGTATTTCAATTATTTTTAATATAAATGGAAAGTATCTAAATGACATTGTTTAAGAAACAAAGAGAGAATTACTTATTTTGATCAGGGTTCAAATTGACACATATACATATATATATATATATATATATATATATTCTGGTTTTATATTATTGCTGTTTTTGATAATGGTGGCGCGGCAATGCCTAACATAAAGGTTAAAAGTGTGCATGTTAATGTTCTTTATTCAACAAGAAAAAGTGAAGGTTCATGTAGCTATATTACGGAAGCTGGTCACTAGAAGTTCTAAAGTTGTAATTATTTTTGTCAAGTAGCTATAATTTATTTTCTATGTGTGACTTTTATTTCTCCTTTAAATATACTGTATAACGCTAAAAAGTCGTTCTTAAGTTTCCACACTAACAAGGTATATAATTTGATCAGTTTAAAAAAAAAAGGTATATAATTTGACAGCAAACAAGCATATGAGAACGATGAACTAAAAATTAATTGCACAACATAAGTGGTATTCAAATAAGTTATATGAATTTTATTCGTCACAAATATGAATTAACATATATCTGTCTTGTGTTTAATGTTATTTATATTTTAAATTGATTTTTTTTTTATAATTTCTAGAATCCATCCATCTCCAATATACCTTTCTAAATTGTATTCGAAGTATGGCTAAAGAAAGGCTGAATAGTGGAGACTGAATGAAGTTGAGGGAAGATATGAACATGTTGACTTTTCTCATGTGCGAACTAAGAAACGGAAAACTTTGCATGTAATGTAAATCTTTGACAGTTTTTTTTTTTGGGCATCAAAAGTTGACCGGTTCCGTCCGATAGAGTTTGGGTGTTGTATCACTTTACGTACGGCTGATACACGGCGCAATACGTGGCCCGATAAATGCGGACAATTATGGGTCATTCTTTTATTTTTGCTTTGTGAAAACAAATGTTTAATAAAATGAAATAAGCACTTTCTTCTGTGTAAAGATTGTATGTAAGTGGGAGTCATTATCTTCGTCCTAAAGTGAAATCTCTTAAATTTTGGAGGGTAAATAACTGGCGGCAATCGGTTTAAAAGTAAATAACCAAATACTTTTCAATCGAAACATTTAGTATAGAAAATATAGCTACCTATCATCACTTATTTTTGAATACAAATGATTAGTTATTGAGGTTAGTATATAGTTTTTGGCCAAACTAAAGATGTCAAGGCAGTGCCAATGTCCTGCATGCAAACAGAAAAAGGTTAAAAGAAGTAATGATGAGTGTTACTGTTGAGCTTAGCAAAATTCGTCCGTGATTGATGCTGCAGCTTGTTTTTTAAGCAACTCTTTTCCCCTTTTTTCCAACGTAGAAAAATCAGCTAGTTTTTTATTAACCAATAGTCTAAAGAATTGAAAGCTTAAGTTTGCATTTGAACAGCGAAACAAACAATACATTTGTATAAAATACAAAAACTCTCATCATAAATATGAAATGCCTCTCATAAGTCAACTCGATAGTTTTTTGTTTGTTTGAGAACATAGTTTTGAGTATCATTATTATCTATAAAAATATGAAAAACCGTTACAAAGTACAAACCTACCTCCATCATAAATAAATTAAAAAAACCTACCTCCACCTTACGTAGAAATAAATACTTATCGATTTTTTAAGTTTTTATTTCAACAAATGAAATCAAGACTTAAGCCAATAATAATATCTTTTAATCTCCCCCTAACCTAACTTTGGAGTTTCCTTCCCTCCATAAATACCGAAACCTCACTCTTACTTCTTCCTCACAATCATCTCTCCAAGTAACAAAACCTAACTCTTTCTTTTACAAGAGCACAAGCCCTTTCTTCATCTTCTTCTTTACCCTCATAAATACTTTAAAACTCTTTCTTAGCATTTAACACAAAAATGGCCATTACTAAACTAGCAATTCTCTTTACCACATTTGTCCTTTTCACCCTCACCGACGCAAAAATCCCTGGCGTCTACTCCGGCGGCGGTTGGCAAACCGCACACGCCACTTTCTACGGAGGCAGCGATGCCTCCGGCACAATGGGTTAGTCCACAAGAAACAGAGTAAATGTAACAAAAAAAAAATCTTCCTTATTAAACAAATTTTTTTTTTTTGATTTTACAGGAGGAGCTTGTGGTTACGGTAACCTCTACAGCCAAGGCTACGGAACTAACACGGCTGCTTTGAGCACGGCTCTTTTTAACAGCGGTATGAGTTGTGGAGCCTGTTTTGAGCTAAAATGCGCCAACGATCCACAATGGTGCCACTCTGGTAGCCCATCGATCCTCATCACCGCAACAAACTTCTGCCCACCAAACTTTGCTCAGGCCAGCGATAACGGTGGCTGGTGCAACCCTCCAAGAGCCCACTTCGATCTAGCCATGCCTGTCTTCCTCAAGATCGCTCAATATCGTGCCGGCATTGTCCCAGTCTCATACCGCAGGTACAAAATCTTCTAATATATGTTCAAGACCTTGGCAATATTAATGTGAACAATTTAAGGAATATAAAATATTAACAAGAACATAAAACCTTAATGCACACATGAAAAAAGTACATTCCAATGTTTAAAATTTTATATTTTAAATAATAAAAAATTATATATTGAAACATTATGATTATTATTTATTTATGATAATTTACTAATAAATGAATGCAATTTTGGTTTTAGTTAGGGTGTTCTCTAATGCAGTAAGAGCATCATTAGTGGGGGTTTCTACACTTGGGGTTCTAAAAATATATATGTGTGTATGTATATGTTATATATGTGTATATAATTGTGGGTTTCTAGCTTTATGGGAAACTCAACCAAAAGTTTCTAATTCTAGAAACTTTCGGTTGAGTTTCCCATAAAGCTAGAAACCCACAATTACATACACATATATAACATATACATACACACATATATATTTTTAGAACCCTAAGTGTAGAAACCTCCACTAATGATGCTCTAAGTGAGTGAGTAAACAAGTGTGAAATGTTGGTTTTTTATTGTAGGGTGCCTTGTAGAAAGAGAGGAGGGATAAGGTTCACAATCAACGGTCACCGTTACTTCAACTTAGTTCTGATCACTAACGTGGCTGGAGCAGGAGACATAGTGAGGACGAGCGTGAAAGGTTCACGAACTGGTTGGATGAGTTTGAGTAGGAACTGGGGTCAGAACTGGCAATCTAACGCTGTCTTGGTTGGTCAGTCACTTTCTTTCCGAGTCACAGGCAGTGATCGTAGAACCTCAACTTCATGGAACATAGTTCCTTCTAACTGGCAGTTTGGTCAAACCTATGTCGGCAAGAATTTCAGGGTCTAAGCGAGTTTCAAGAAACTATATTAAAGTGGTCGAGACAAATGAAAACTCTCCGCTAATTTCGCTTCTCCTTTTTTTTTTCAAAAATTTATACCGAGGAGAGAAAGTATTATCTTTGACTTTCTCGTGTGTGTTTTTAATTTTTTTTTTTTGGGGCTTGGTGTTTTAATTGTGAGGGAAAGTGAAGGATAGTAGTTGAAGTGGCTGTGAGAAAATTTTGTAACAGCCCGCAACTACTAAAGTATTTACAATGGTTGGGTTGTAAGTTACAACTTGTAACGTTTAATTTCGTGTAATGTAATACATGCTTATGTTATGATACAATTTACTAATCTTCTGGTTTGTTTTTAACTAGCCATTTAGAAAACAGTTTCTCTTAAAGATTGAAGTTAATGCACGTTTGTGATAGATACACGGGGATCCCACTTAGGTTTGGTAACAAGAAACAGGAATAATTCAATGGCTATACAGTATACATCTAAATGCCTTTAATAAGTGGGAATTGTTTTATTTTTGACTATGGATAAAGTAAATTTTAATAGTATTTCCATTCAATGCAAACGTATCACAGATACACAGGTCCACAAATCAATTACTTGTTATTCATTTTTATTTACTTTTGGAGATATGAACGGAACATGTCTTCTCCACTTACAAACTAAGCTAAAGTTTATTATTCACCTCCATTATATATATCTTTATTGTTTTATATTACTTCACTTTAACAGATTCCCGTATTGATGTTCAAAAAAGAAAGATTTCTCATATTAAACTTTGTTTCATTTGGTTTTAGATGCAAACAAACGAGAATGTTTAGAGCATCAACATTAGGAGATACTTTCCTTAGAATATCTAACATCTATAATATTAGTATATCTTACCTTTTTTATTAATATTTAAAATAAAAATAACTGATCCAATGAAAAAGAAAACATAAAAGAGAATTTCTCATATATTATTATAAAACATTTTCTGAAAATCTCTTCTCAATGTTTTCACTCTTTAATATGTTGACAAAAAAAAAAGTTTTCACTCTTTCTTTTTTAAACTTTTTCTACTATATATTTAAAATCTAGAAAACTGGTTGAAAAACTACTTATGATGGTGCCCTTACCTCCGAGAGAGAAGTTACCAAACATTGTTATTCTAATCTTTATAAGGATCTCTAGTATTTACAATGACAATAGATAGCGAAACTCGTGGCCATATGTTTGAATCTCTACCATTTTAGCTAAAGGGACTTTTACTTTTCTCTTTAAACATTCCATAACCATAGCCTTCAGGGTCCCTGATCGTGGCAACTGGCTGTAGATCCATTCCAAAAGAGATTCAATATCATCTGCAAAATCTTTCATGTGCCATTGCAGAAGCTGTGGGACGATAATCTTTTTCTTGCTGGAAACACCTACGGAAGCTTCTAGATACTCCACTCTTGCTCTTCCTAAATCATTCACCACCTCATCTGCTGTATATACTCTAAGCTGGAAATGAAAACCTAGCTCATCATCATCCATATATATATATACGAGTAATAATACATAAAGTGGATAAACTATATATGTTTCTACACTTACTGCTGGTGAAGACCAACTTCCACGGCAAAGCGCAAATGTCACATTAGGCTCTGAATATCCTAAACCATAAGTGTGTCGCAGGAGAGTTTCTTTCTCATTGAGTGAATCCTTACATCATGAAGATGTTGATTAGCTTCTTGGGCAGTTAGTCTATTTTATAGGTATGAACTGATATATAACATAGACTTACATGTTCTGGTTCACAAGGATGTCTTAAGACAAAATGTTCAATTGCCAAAGCGTTGAGGACTATGCCACCGACGTTAAGTGAAGCCTAACAAGTAAAAAAAGAACACAATCATATGTTTGAATGCTAATCTACAATTAAAGAGAAAATTAGATTGTGATTTTGATCCAAAACCTTACCTTGTTCATCAAGGTAAGTAGTTTATTGTGTGACGAAGGTAACCCATACTCAAGAAAAGCCTATTATTCGAACATATAATTAAATTAAGTTTTCGTGTGGTATATATAATAACAGTTTCAATAATTTTATTTTATAATTGTGGCCGTACATGCATGATACAAGCGTTGTAGATATTGATCCAGAAAGCGAGTTTTTGCTTGTAGGTCAAGAAAGTCAAATCCACTTCTGATAGTTTTTCCATCAAAACACTGCCAAACACGCATAGATAGTCAAATAAAACACTTTCATCAAGAATTATAATATTTGATTAGATCATTTCAGTATGTTGAATCCAAAAGTAATTAATAACCTCAAGCGTGGAACAGCCGGTGAACAATAATGCGTAAAACGAGTCACATCTATGGAGTTTCTTGAAATGTGGATGAAGTTCTTGTAAGGACCAATGTCTCTAGTAAATCCTCCGTTTGAGTCTGGTAATACGTGATAAGGATCAAGATTCATTGCATTCTGATAATAACTATATGTGTTTGATTTCCTGCTAGACGAAGAAGAGGGCCGTCTTGAAAACTCTACATCTCCTTTGGTCTTTGATGAAACTTGATTTAGTTCCAAGTAAATGCCTATGAGAGAGTTTATGAGTTGTTCCGAGACTTCATTTGGGTCCTCTTTGCTCTTCACTTCCACAAGCCTAAGCCCCTTCCTTACTCTACCCATGTGTGGTCTTGATAATCCATCAAATTCATCTGCCGAGTAAAACCATGACTTTGAGTGCAATATGAGGGTAAATGTATAATGTGAGAATATAAGCTCCCACATTGGAAGTTTTGAGTTGGTTTTAAGTGGATTGGTTCAAGTTCCTTATATATTACTCATGAAACCGGATGTTTTTTTTTTTTTGGTTTTGTTAGTTAGATTTTGAAGTCAAAGTTTGGTTAAAGAAATTTCGGTTTGGTTCTATTAGTTAGGTTTAATTACTTTGTGTCCTCTAGTATTTTTATGTGCAGCTTATAAATGTTTAAGGGATAAGCAACTACTTTTACCTGTGAAGCCACCTGAAGAAGTTGCATCCAAGAAATCAGGAGCATAAGAGAACGAGAGCCTTGAGTGAGTACTTGAGACAGTATCTAGATCAGAACGTTGGTAATGATGTGAAAAAGATCGTTGATGAAGATCATATCTTAGTGGCAAACTTTTGCGTCTCACATGATTCTGTCTCGCCAATGTCCTCTTCTGCTCGGTTAGCTCTTGCGTTTGTCTCTGTTCGTAGCACAGTTTAAGCTTCAGCTCCTCGATTTTTCGGTCTAGACAAAGAATCTCTGCCTCCACTAGGGCAAGTTCTTGTATAATCTCCGAAAACTATTACACGTACACCAATTATTTTGATCATTAGGTTAAAACATTATACATTATGTGAGATATGGTTAGTGGTGTTACCTGTGGTGGAAGAAACAATGAGGAGAGACTTGGGAGTGAAACAACAGAGCCATCAAAAACAGACCGTAAACTTCTACTCAATGCTTCTTCTTCTTCTAGTCTCTCTTTAAGATGCATTACCTACATAAACACAAACATTCAAGATAACATAAAGTATTGCTTGTAAGTGTATTTTTTTTAGGGAAAAGAGATGCTTACTCCTTCCTCTAAGTCATATCTCTTGTTATTGTATTGTGGTGAAGCTTCCATGAGGAGTTCTTCAAATTTCATGCGTTTTCTAAGTTCCAAGAGAAACAAGATAGGAAGAGAGTATATATGATTAGACTGAAACGTGGGAGCCATTAAAAGGGTCGGTCGGAGAATTGGACTTAAATGAAGTGGTTACAAAACATACAAATATTTAAAACAGTTATATTGACTTTTGTGTTTGGTCACTTTGAGTTTGTTAAGGGATAAATGCAAGTCACATGAGTCTTGACATGATAACGGCTGATCAGATTCAGACATGAACAAAAAAATAGTTCGGTTATAATTATAAACACAGGTTGTAGAGGTGGGCATGACGTGAACCCCCATCACCTTGGAGACCTATTATCTGATATTAATTTGTAAATGCTATTTTGTATAGTTTACATTACACTTGAAGACTCAAACTAAAAACTACTTAAGATCTTATGCTAATGTATTTTAACCCAAAACTCCAATTCATAGAGATCAGTATCATTCCATTAGAATCTTGGTTTCGATACATTTTATTTCACCTAATCCATAGGAAGCAGAAAACAATAGGTGATATAGAACTTAACCTGTTCAATAATTTCATGTCTTTCCCTGTGGCACAAACTTTAACACATCCAGTCTAAAACCTCTCTGCAACAAGAAGTATTGAGTTGTGTTGGTCACTAAGCGTATAAGCCTAAAAAACGTGTCACAGTTCGAATGCAAAAGCAAGATACGACACACGTTTTTTTTTACAGTTAGAATGTTGACTTCTAAACAGTGTAATTAACCAATCCAAACCAAATATTAATTCTGATTAAAACGCAATATTCACCTAAACCGAGTATATTTACACTCCAACTTCATTTGAGTTTTTATAAAAAAAATGTATTGAGGAACAAAAGAATCAACAGTGGTTACAACAACACAAGAAAAAAAAATCAACAGTGGTTACAACAATACAAGAAAAAATAAAAAATTTAACCTATACTTCTGGTAACTTAGCTCTGGTTTTAAAACCATGTTTCTTGTTATCCTTAACCGGATCAGGCTGAGTCGGTATTCCCAAGTTGTCCTGAAGTTGTTGCAATGCACGGACCACTTGGTCCATGGTTGGACGTGACTTGGGTTCGAATGAGATACACTGCACCGCAATGCTAGCCAATCTCACTGCCTCTTCAGGTAAGTACTGTGTCTCTAGCCGAGGGTCCACGATTCGGAGAACCTTGCGTTTGCTTGTGAGGTGCGGTCGAGCCCAGTCCACAAGGTTTTCTTCTTTAGCCGGCCTGTTATAGTCCAACGCTTGTTTACCTGACAAAATCTCTAGAAGCACAACTCCGAAACTGTACACATCGCTTCTTGCATTTAAGCGACCTGGAAGGATACAAGAATGTTAAAAGATGAAACTAAGTACTCAAACCCTTATATCCATATGCTGAGCTGGTACTAACATATACAAGTGAAAAAATTTGTATATGACCTAACCAAAATTTTTTATAAAAAGAAAAATATAAGAAAACATATGCCTCCATTTTTGTTAAATTTCTGTCAAAATTGCCTTTTAAGAAGATTGGTGGTTTATTAAACCTGATGACATATACTCAGGAGCCGCGTAACCATGTGTACCCATAATCCTTGTACTGACATAGCTTCGTTCACCCACTGGACCATCCCTAGCTAGTCCAAAGTCAGAAAGTTTCCCATTGTAGTCCTGTTATTAGAAACAAAGTCATCATCAGTAAAACGTCTTTCAAAGATTAGTGAGACCATCTAACTCTTTTTGAATATATGTTTCTAACCGCGTCAAGCAAGATGTTGGAGGTTTTTAAGTCTCGGTATATCACTTTGACAGGGTCGCTGTGGAGGAAGGCAAGGCCCTTTGCTGCATCAAGCGCAACCTTGACCCGTAGAGACCACGGTAGTGGCTCAAAATATGAACCTCCTGCTTCAAAACCACTTCCATTAGCACAAAAAAAAACAAGCTATATATGTAAGAGATATAAGTCCTATATATTGTAACCATTTCAATCTAATAGGACATCATAACATAACATTCATTAATCAGAAAAAAAGAGATCTGAATCAAGAAAAGACTATCCATGGGACTTACTTTTGAATAGATGATTCTCAAGACTTCCTTTTTGCATAAACTCATATACAAGAAGATGTTGCTCATCCTCCGAGCAATAACCAATCAGTTTCACTAGATTTGGGTGACTCAATTCTCCCAAGTAATTGATCTCCGTCTGCATCATAACAGAACATATAAGAGACAATCACACAGACACACGTGTTAAATTCAAACTCAAACGCCAGTTTCCAAGTTAAAACCAATTGACGATAAGTGGATTGATCCTAACTCTTTATATATTAGTTGATTATTTCTCCAATTACGATGTGTCATTTCATTATTTCATGAACGTACATAACTCAAGTTAGAAGAAATGAAAACTGTACCAGCCATTCACGGTGGCCTTGAAGACTTTCGTTGTTAAGCTTTTTAACAGCAATGACTAAACCAGTCCCCGGTTTAGTTGGTGCGAGACTGGTTTCATCCAACCAGCCTTTAAAAACACAACCAAACCCACCTTCTCCGATCACACTGTCCGGTCTGAAATTCCTAGTTGCGAGTTTGAGCTCGATGAAGGTGAAGCTCTTGACAGACGTCGAATCAAGTATCTCCATTTCTGTCCTCTGAGGCGCAGCCATCGTGGATGTCGATGTCCGGCTCGACATGCTTAGACCGGACAGATAGCTGCTCTGATCTACATATAGATGAAGAACAAAGAGATAAAGAAGAAGATTCCAAGAAAGTCAATAGATATGCAGAGATGGTACCATTGTAGGAAAAGTTTTCGGCCTTGGCAGGATATCCAAAGCAAGTACCCATTAAAGTCCAGAACATAACAGAACAGAACAGATTCTTGATTCTTGATTCTTGATCGTTCTTCTTCAGATGCTTGAACCGGATATAGTTTGTAAGCAGAAGAGAAAAATAACGAGGTAGAGATGTGAACAAGAGAACGAAGAAGGTGAAGAAATGAGAATAATGGTTTGGTGTTAATGAGAGGCACGAGGCATGACAGAAAGAGAAGAAGAATGGCCGCTTTGTCTTTGTGTATAAAGTCAAAACAAATAGATACAAGAAAGTATAGTTTGAAAAAAATAAGTATAGTTTGGCCAAAAGATAAAAAGTCGTTGGATTCTTTTTTTTATCGAAATGATATGTTGTGTGACCAAATTTTTTTTTAAAAAAGTCTTAAGAAATCTTTTGGCTCTATCCTCTAAAGATTTTTTTTTCTAGAAAACTGATAACATAAACTATCAGTTGCGTGGAAGTTCTGTTCCCTAGATTCAATTTCATTGGGAAAGGATTCAGCAATTGATTTTTTATCCCTGATCTTTGGGATTAGTCAGGTTTTTACAATCCAGATGCCCGGATCATTATAAAGAAAAAAAGAAACTATCAATCACATTACTAGTTTTGGAGTGCTCTTTTGTTACCGTCCGTATCTGATTTATTACCATTTATGGGGACGACAAATAAACAATGAGACACGAGGATTTCATATTTGCTGTCGTAACAAAATATTTATTTGGTCTCGGGTGTGTGTCATCACTGTCATGTGTGTGTATGTATGTAAACAGAAAATACGTAAATATATTATAACTAACAATTAAAATCATTACTTCTTTACATTTTACATTATTTTTATTTTTACTTTTGTAAATATATCACGTCTTTTTCTTAACTAGGAGTTTAGGCATATGGTTATCATTTGAAAACTGTAAGTAACATCATTGAGATTTTATGGAAAGACAATTTAGTAAATGTTTATATAATTTTCTCTTAAAAATTTGGAAATCTTTTCAAAAAGGTTTAAGATCATATGCCAAATCAATTGCTTATGCTCATGATCGGTCCTGAAATTATGGGTGTTGATATGATTTTAACTTGTAAATGCATTTGCAAAAATATCGTTTTAATTTCGCTGTTTTTCACCAAGTAGCAAAACCATGGTGTTGACTTTGTTTCCTGTGTACACCATGGTCGTATGGAAACTAGTTATTCTAGATGCAAGAAATTTTACATACAAAATAATAGACCCAAGCTATCAACTTTTACTCCTTCTCTCTCTACATATACATATGAAAAATGACATAAACAAGTCCATAATGAAGAATCAACTAAAAGAAAAATAGGTTTGACTTGGGAGGTAGGTTTGTGATAAGGAGTCGCGTATTGTTTGGACGTCGCTGTCTGTTTGGCGTTACTTTTGGACATTTTTTGAATATATTTCAACCACTAGTTGGGCAATCTTTACGTACGGATGTACTATTTTGACTTGCCCTGTCTTGCTTCCACACATTGCTAACATCCCTCTAAAAGTTACCTTTTGTCGCGATTAACAAAAACTTTCCCCCCTACAGGAACATAAACTAGACTCTGTTTCCTTTCTCAGTGTTCTGTCAGCGTGTAGATTCGCAGGGTTAGTTGAAGAAGAAAAACAAATGTTCTAGGAAATGAAAGAGAGAGAGAGACAGTATCGAAGTTAATTTGAACATTGAGCATTTATGATTGATCTATTGCCAACAGACTATTGGGGAAGTCTAGTTTGTTTGGTTGGTGAGAGGAGTGAGAGTGAGCAAATGTAGGAGTGTTGGAAGCTTTCTTGATTTGTTCTAGAATGCATTATAATTGGTGGTTAAGTAGTGCAGCATTGTGTCAGCTTGTTAAGCCTGAGCCTCTTAATCCATTTCATTATGGTAAAAAGACTGGAGATTAGGAGATGCTAATGATGGAATATGGATCAAGAATCAAGGAAGTTCCTGCTTGAAGAGCGATACAAGTTTAAGAATACCCACTTTTTCTCTTTTTTGCATCATCTGGATTATGTAGATTCTTAAACTGTATATATTATCGTTGCCCAAAAAAAAAAAAAAAAACTGTATATATTATCTATCTGCCCGAAGAGTAGAGCCACACGTTGAGAGGAAATATATACGTGATTATAGCTTTTATATATTGGTGGTTTAACAACAAGGGTCCATAGCTCAGTGGTAGAGCAATTGACTGCAGATCAATAGGTCACCGGTTCGAACCCGGTTGGGCCCTTATTTGTTTTTTTCTCTATTATCTTTTTTTTTTTGTTTTCTGGAAAATTAACTACTTAATAGGATTAGTGAACCGAAGAGAGCATTAGGGAAATAACTTGAATGACGTATATATGAAGGGAATGCGAAGCCTTGATAAGACCTTCCGAACTGATCGTTAAGTTTGTTACCATGAAGCAAAAGCAAGGTAAAAGTAGAACTGTTTTCTCAAATGAGAATGTAATTCTGATTTTTGAGACGTACAATAAAAAGCTGAACCTAGAAACTGAAAAAGTCATAAATATAACAGTTGTGGTATTCACTTTACCCTTTTTAAAAACTGTATTCCTACTTTTTTTCGTTTTTTCTCTCAAAAAATCCCCATGTACTAGTACTAAATTCCCTTCTCTTAGTGTGTGTGCTATGTATAAAGGGGAAAACACGAGTCAGCTTTTTAAATTTCAATCCATCAGAGTGATTCCTTTCTTTCTAGCTTCTTCTTCAATCTCAACACCTCTTTTCTCTTCTATACTTCTACCTACACTCCCATAACATCTCCACAGCTTCACTGACATTGGATATACAGACACAGCTTTGCTCAAGAATCTCTCTGCTCTTGTCTTGAAACCATTGATATTACTCAGTATCTCTCCAGCCTCCACCCAAATATACTCCGGAGCTACTGGCATTGCACAAGAAATTGCATTCACCAGATTCAGACCTGCCCAGAAATGTATACCTGATGAACCAGAATCTTCTTTCCTCAACAGCTTACTTACAGACAGAGCCACCGGGTAGTTGCACGGGACCAACCCTAAGATTGTTTCCACAAAATCCACCAGTTCCTTTTGTTTACTCAGTTTCTCCGGAACAAGAGATGGTCCGTGCCATGCTTCAAGAACCGTGTTCACCACTGAGACTTCAGATGAAACTGGCGCTAGAAGGTTACTTACTAGCTTCCTCACTCTTGGTTTCTCGGCGCTGTCGCTGATGAATTTCCACGAAAGTGGTTCTTTAACAGGTAAAGAATTTGCTTGGTCCAGATAAGAGTTGAGTAATCTCAGTTGTAGGTTGATTGGAAATTCACCTGTTGCTTGCAACGAATTGATCAGCTGAAACACAGCATGTTCTCTTAGGCAATGCATGAACTGATCAGGAGCTGCAGCTTTAAGTGCTTGGTCAATGGCTGAGCAAGCACCGGTCCAATTACTTTGCAGTAGGTTATGGAGAGAGAGATTGAGATATCCAAACATCTCATCCGATGCAACACCTTCTTCCTCTGTTTCTTCATTAGTCAGTGCTGTCTTTTGATTAAAGGACGATACATCCCATACAGAGGCATACCAACGGGACATGAGCTCTCTTGCTGAGTTGTTGCTTCCTCCTTGCAAAGCATATTCAGCGTACTGATTCCAAATCCATTGTATGCCTGAAGCTTCTTTTGGTTCCTGCTTGAGAAGCTCTTCGAACCCAGACGACAGCGTTTCATTTGACTCTTTTGGTTTCATCCTAGCTGCTAACAGTTTCAGCTCTAAGCAAGATGGGTAGAGCTCAACTGATGCCTTCACAATGTCCCTACATTTTTCCAACTCATCAACTGCTATCATAAACAGTGCGTGGTTCAAAGCGAATAGCCCGGCAGTGCGCTCATGTATTCCATCTTCTGAACGCGTCTCTTTATCAAATAGTGTGAGAGCCATCTGCTTCAGATCACCTACCAACTTAACTGAAGGCCATTCTATTTCTAGTAGTTCCTTCTCCATCTCAAATCGTCGGACAACCGAATCAGGCAGCTTCCTGTAAACAACTAAGTACACACAACAAATCCAGAACACACATTTATCAGAATATGTTAAGCATGTCAGAATTTGAGACATCATTGAAAAGTCAGGATCCGCAGAAACTGTTGCTTGAGCCCGAAGCTTGGATATTCTCTGGACTGCCTTCGAAACATTCCCGGAAATGCACATAAGGTTGAACATCTGCAATGAAAGATCTAATATGCAAGCGCTGGCATGATCCCTGTCGATAGAACCAGGTGCATGGTTGCAGAGCGCCGAGAGGGCAGTATCATATGCAGTTAGTTGATCGTTAAGTTGTCCTCGACTGTTGATGTACATAAGCCATATTGCGTACGATCCGCTACACAGATTGACCTGAAAAGTTTAAAAGTTATCTCATATAAACCAGGCTGCAAAATTGTGAAGCATTCCACAAGGTTAGATCAATACTATTATTTTGTTCTATATATGGATAAGCACACATATATGCAAACGTACACAGATAATCAATCATAAAATGCACATGTGGCTATGTAGATGCAGGCAATATCATAATAGGTGATAACATACCCCAAGAGACAGCATATCTTTCCCATCTGATCCTTCATGTGAATAGTAAATTAGGAGATACACAATCCAAAGAATCTCAGAAGCTGGATCACCTTCAAGACCTCGTGAAAGAACAGAAAGGGCCTGGAAAAAAAGAAGGTAGCCAGAATTAAAACGAGAGCTAAATTTGATACTACACAGTATTGACAGGAATCAAACAACATTGCCTGGATCAAGCCTTCTGAGTGGTCAATTTCCCGACAGAAAATAGTAAGAGCCATTTCCACGGATTCAACAGCAGCATCCGAACCT